GTCGCGATGAGTGAGTTGAGAGCGGTTTGAAGATGCGACGCATGGGGGACTTGACTTGGGTTAAAATAAAAGTATGGGGATATTCGGAGGGGCTCGGGGTTAGATGTTGATTCCGGGGTATCTTTTCTATGGCAGTTAATTGGTAATGTTGCTTGCTAAGATCGTTTGTAATGCGTGATAAAGCAAGTGGATTGTCTTTTTTCTCCACTGGTATTGGCTTTGAGTGAGGTCATTGATTGAGTACATTTCAAGTCAGGCACTGAGACTTGATTCTTGACTATGATTCGAAGGGAGACTACTAGTTTCGGAAATACGGAATAAGAGATACATGATCTTATAAGTAGTGGTTACTGTGGTCAGAGAAGATAGGTTACTTATTTGATCCGATGTAAGAGAGCCATTATTGCTCGCGGATCTCCTCTTACAATGGGTGAAGCCAATAAATACTGCAACGTCGTCGAAATGGTCATAACTTGGCCAATTACTAACCTTGGGCTATCGTCAAGATCCTTGTGATCAATCATTATTGGACATCAATGCCAATGGTCTTCCCGTTTGGTGTGTATCCAATGAATGGTACCTACTCTGAGCTGACATCAGAACTCAATATCGATGACTAGATCTCAGCTACATGTTTACGAACAAGGTAAGGACAAAGGCGCACTAAATACAATGATAACATATAGACAGAATGCTATCATATCAACCATATATATTCAGGGAATTATAGTCTATGCCATTAGTAGTGATATTCGCAAGATTAGGTTGTTTCAAGTATAGGGTAGCCATCTTACATAATGCAACCACTATAACCACTCCATGTGACAGCGCGAGCTAGTGGAACGCGGAAAGAGGAGTCATTCGCCGCGTCTGACTCTAAGAAAAAAAAAGTTGATCGTTTCAAGCAGAAATATTATATTGACTATTATTTATGACTTAGGCAGATGATGCATTTTTGTATCACGCCGAATTCCCTCTCAACTCTTTAAAACTCTCTCATGCAAACATGGGGCACTCGACGCCTCACACATTTATTCAATTCTGGTAGTCGTTCATTATCACCAACTTTTTCATCAACCTCACCTGGACTTTATTTCTGCAGACGAGCCTGGAACGGTTCACAGCCAAAAGTAAAGTCTCGAGCTTTCAGGAAATCCCGCCTGTTCTCAGAACCTACTGCAAAACTAAACCCAAAAGCAAGCGAGGATTCTGTTGGAGCTGCAATGACGACTTCAGTTGAGATCGCTTCGGCGCCCACCGTGGACACTCCCGGAACTTGTCTCTTTGTCCACAGCGACAAACGGTCTTATCTGTTTGGTCGACCCGAAGAAGGGACTCAGCGCGCTTTTCAGAGCAGAAGACTGGGAATGGGAGCAACAGAACAGGTCTTTCTGAGTGGCAGTGTCTCGTGGGAGTTGGTTGGAGGTCTCTTCGGCTATGTTCTTACAGTTGGTGGCGCACTAGAGGCGAGCAGAGAACAGACAGCATTGATCAATGAGGAAAGGAAGAGCAAGGGCCAAAAGTTGACGAAGCAAGCTGCTTTCGAAACCATTCACATCCATGGTGGCGAGAATCTAAACCACACTCTCGCCGCATGCCGTCCCGTCATCTTACGACAGCCGATTTCCGTGCGTACGCATGAGCATAGAGAAAACCCTCGGCTTGATAAAATCGAGAGCATAGAACCCGACTGGAAAGACGACGTGCTTCGTGTGTGGAAGATTCCGATTCAACGAGATCGCTCCAGCAGCCCAAAGAAGCGTCGCAGGTCGAGCGCCATCGTTGGAGGCCAAGACGAACCACAGTTCAAAGAATGGTCACCACTTTCGGACCCTGAATATGCGACTACTCTTGTCGAGAAAGTCATGTTCAATGGAAAACTCAAAGGAAACGGCATGCTCATCCCTGTCAAGCTGAGCGAGGTCAAGCCCAAGGATACTACTGTCTTTACACGTCAAAATGGCGAGGCAGCGCTTTACAAGGGTCCTAGACCTGGCGATGGGTCAAATTTGACGAAACCGGATCAAATTGTTTGGGTATTCCCCGAGAAGGAGGCTCAAATTGATCGCAGCGGGGATATTCTCAACGTGACACATCGGCCACTGCCCCCAACAATCTACAGCCAAAGCTCTATGTGCTATATCGTCAAGTGCCTCGATCGCCGCGGAAAATTCAACCCTCAGAAGGCCAAGGAGCTTGGAGTACATGTCACTGACTTCAAGCATTTGACTGCGGGCAATACTATAGTAACAAAAGATGGCGTTACTGTAACTCCTGAACAGGTCCTTGGCGAGACTCAGCCCGGTCAAGGATTCATCCTCGCTGACATCGAATCTCGCGACCTCATTGACTCATTCATGGAGCGACCTGAATGGTCTAACTCCGAATTGATGTCTCATGTGGCTATTATGTATTGGATTCTCGGCCCTGGAATGGCAGATGATGCTAGAATCCAGAAGTTTGTGGACGAGCATCCCACGATGAAGCACTTCTTCTGTGCTCAGGACACATGCCCCAATATGATATCTCTGGCTGGGCCTGGGCAGCTACAGACTAAGCTACGGAGGGTCGACCCTGAGAGATTTTCTCTACTCAAATATGATAACGATGTCAAGGGAGCATTGCCAAATGGATCACAAGTTGAGTCTGGCCGGATAGGAAACAAAATATCGCTCATGCCCCGACTCAAATTCGGCGAGGGCGAGATCGCCCCGTTCCCTAATCTCGTGGAGGCAGCTCAGTCTGTCAGTAATGAGATTCTCGAACTAGCAAGAAAGGCTCGTGAAGAGACTTCTGATCCTGAGTTTCTACGAAAATTGGAAGAGGATGAACAAGATATTCCCAGCCGCGATGCTGAAATCATCCCCCTTGGAACTGGCTCTTCGATCCCCGGCAAATATCGTAACGTTTCGTCAACACTGATTCGGGTACCTGGTATTGGAAACTATCTTCTCGATGTTGGTGAGGGCACTTTGGGTCAAATCCGACGGCTCTTTGGAGAGGAGGAAACTGGAAATATTCTCCGAGATCTCAGGTGCATTGTCATCAGCCATCTTCACGCTGATCATCACCTTGGTACTCCCAATCTGATCAAAGCCTGGTACGAATACACCATCGAAGACACCAATGCCAAGCTAGCTGTATCTTGTATATCAAGATACAAGGCGCTCTTGGAAGAGGTCTCTCAAGTCGAGGATATTGGTTTCCACAGACTCCATTTCCCCCATTGCAGCAGCACCAAGCCTGATAAGTTCAACAGCGGTCCTTTCATGATAGAGAACGGAGACTTCGGGCTTCGCGCTATCAAGCGCATTCCAGTTCCTCACTGCTGGCTCTCCTATGGGACAGAACTCGAGCTTACATCCGGTCTTCGCATCGCATACTCAGGTGACTGCCGTCCTTCAAACGAGTTCGCTCGGGAGTGCGAAGGTGCCCACCTCCTTGTTCACGAGTGCACGTTCGACGATGACATGCTGGCTCACGCTAAGAAGAAGGGCCACTCTACGATGGGCGAGGCACTAGAGATTGCACGCAAGATGAAGGCTCGAAGAACGCTGCTCACGCATTTCTCGCAACGCTATGTCAAGGCCGATTCGTTGAAGAGAGACGAGAGGGGTCAGGCTGGTGAGACGCTCATGGCTCTCGATCTCATGAGTGTTAAGCTGGGCGATTTCAAGAAGGCGGCTGCTTTCCAGCCTGCAATTGCTATGCTCATGGCGGATGCGAGTGACAAATAAGGTCCGTGGTATGAATAGACTTGTATGATAGTAAAGGCATAGAGTTGTAACGCTATATACGAACTGTTGATGATGAGTCTTTATTGTTCGAAGTGACCCAGGATATTATGAAACTGCAGAGCTGGGGACACAATACATGCGGGTTTTTCACAAGAACATGTCTTAAATTATCCACAGCCGTCAACACAAGCTCTAAGGGTACAATCATAACCTCATGAATTAGAAGCTCACCAAATGTAGAGAGAACCAATTATACGTTCTATCCATGTCGAGATATGTTCTCTAGGGTGGCTGCATGTGCGACTGAACACAGGAGATCAAGCGTCACGATAACTCTACCCCCTAAACAAGCTTTCAGCCAACAAGCAACTTGAAACACTCATACCAACATACCTATCCAAGACATCTTACCATTCATACCTCAACGATTGATCGTGCCAGTCAGTGTGTCAGTTCTGGAAGAGAATAGCGGTCTCGTCCTCATCGGAAATAAAAGGTTCCGGCCGCGTGGCCTAATGGCTAAGGCGCTAGATTTCGGTTTCCAGCTCCCGAATTCTCTAGAGATTCCAGGTTCGAATCCTGGCGTGGTCGATTACTTGCTGGAATACATCTTTTGCCGGCTGGGCAACTCGTCGGCATTGTGCTTTTTGCAGATCCGGTACTCAGAATTGGGGACTCGGGATACCAACCCACCAATCGCGGCTTGTTGATTTACTGCTTAGGATTTTGGTATCTCTTGGGCGACTGATATCATTGCTCCGATATCAAAGCGACCGGCCCGATATAGAAGGACCCCAAATACTTCTTTTGATCTACAAGTCGTGTCTATCATATAATTCCTTTTACCAGAAATGATGTATTAATTCTAGAGATACTCATCTCGACTCGGGACTCGTCCCGATTCTGCTTATGCGTAACCCCACGATTTATAGCCCAGGCCGGGGCTGTATGTACGTAAATTAAGCCATGTGCCAGCTCCGAAAGCGGGACTCACCTGCGGCTACGTTAGCTTATCGTCGCGTTTATTCACAGCAATCCCCCTCCGCCGGGTTTTTTTGTCCCACGAAGTGGTCATTCGGGCATTTCTAGTCCACAAGAACCCCTCTAGCGGTCAATTAAATAATTCCCTTTGCCTCGCCTTGCTTTACTTCAGGTCAGGTAGAGCCTTGTTTGTTATCCCCTCCCGCCGCCCTCTTCTCGCGAGCGAATACCTTCGTTATCTCGAATCCGACAAAGAATCCGTCCCGTATCTACACCCAGAACATGTCGGCCTCGCTTCCTGGCGCGCGGGAGCTTCCCGCTTCCCAGTATGACCTTGAAACATATATGGGACGGGTGCGCCATACAATGGGCATTACAGACCCTACGTAAGTCCAATTGCTGAAACTCTGAACCTCCGACTTCAAGGACCATGAGCTGACCGTGCTGGCGCATTCTCTAGGACCCTGTTCGCGGGCAAGACCGGACTCGAGGCGGCCAAGAAGCTGGTGACGGATTACAAGACGGGAAAGATCGAGCACATGTCGCCATCTTTGTGGCATGCGAAGAAGGTTGTTGACTCTACGCTGCACCCTGGTATATATGGCCCTGGCAGAGTGCAATCGTGACACCAGCTGACGAGATACTGTGCAACAGACACCGGCGAGCCCGTCTTCTTCCCCTTTCGAATGTCTTGCTATGTCCTGACCAATCTCGTCGTGACCGCCGGTATGCTTCAACCTGGCATGGGTACAGTCGGCATTGTTGGATGGCAAGTCTTTAACCAGTCGCTGAATGTCGCATTCAACACTGCCAATGGCAACAAGTCCTCCCCCATGTCGACCGAAGTCATGATCAAGTCATATCTCTCTGCTGTGGGAGCTTCTTGCTCTGTCGCTCTTGGTCTTAACGCCATTGTGCCTCGACTCAAGGTCACACCCTCCACCCGCCAAATCCTCGGTCGACTGATTCCCTTTGCTGCCGTTGCTACAGCTGCTGGCCTAAACACCTACCTCATGCGCCGGGACGAAATCGTCAAAGGTATCGATGTTCGACCTGTGCTTTCGGATGATGACAAGCAGAAGCTCATCGCCGAAGGCAAGTCGGAACGAGACGTCCCTTCGCTGGGCAAGTCTCAATCTGCTGCCAAGCTCGCTGTGTATCAAACCGCAGCTAGCCGAGTCTTCACAGCGTCTCCTATCATGGTTCTGCCCCCTATGATCTTGTACCATATCGAGAGCAGGCAAGCTTGGTACAAGAACCTCCTGCAAAAGGAGTGGGTGCGCTCACGGCCAGCACTCGTCAAGGGTATTCCCCTGGGCATCAACTTGAGCTTGATCGCCCTCACCTCCTTCGCTGTACTTCCTTTCGCTCTGGCTGTCTTCCCACAGCAACAAGAAGTGAGCGCTGAATCACTCGAACCTGAGTTCCATGGCAAGGGAGGTAGGAATGGCAAGGTTGTTTTCAACCGTGGCCTGTAAACAGCCTATGTTGCATCAGAAACCTGTTTAGCATGATGGTCGTTGGAACGATTGCACATCTTGCTCAATCTACTGTGACACCATGCTGTCTGAACAATAGCCGAGAGATTTCCTTCAGATCTTGTTGAGAAAGCAACTTGTCAGTGGCTATCAAACTAGAATTGCCTCAAACACGCTCAGAAGAAGAAAGGGGTTAAAAAGTATGCCTCTTGGTTGGTTTGAAAATATGAGACAATGAGAATCTTAAGGACGGCGTTTATAGTATAGATAGAGATTCTTTGCTACTTTGAGAGCGTGCCAGGTCTGAAATGTTATGCAGGAACGCGAGCAAAGGAGCTTTTCAGAGCCAAAAGTTGCTCGATTTAGCCAATAGAGCTAGACTTGACTGCATCATTAGACATTAGATGAACGGACTCATACAACACCATTTATAGAGAGTGCAATATAGTGTAACTTATACAATTCTTGACCTAGATCATACGACCTATGTTGACTGACTCTTTGATGAAAGTAGACAGCTGTTGAAGTCTAGGGTTGGCCATAAGGGTCGGCGGCCCAAGGTGGCACTTTACCTACCACAGTCGAATAAGACAACCTGATTCCATTAAAACACAACCAATGAAGCATCGGTGTAAAGTTCATCAAGCCAATATCATCAAAGCGGGAAAAGAGCCTTGCAAGTCTGTCTAGTGATTGCACATTTCGGTCAGACAGTCAAACTATCGCCACCAGGATCGACAAGGCTAGCCCAGGCTAGATGCTGAGCCGACGCGTCGCGCCTGTTGAAGGAATGTAACCAAGCAAATGGCAGGACTGCATATCTTGTGATAACCAAAAGAGAGAGGGGTAAATTCTCTTTGCGTTGATGTTGAGAAGAACAAAGACTCGTGCGTGAGATAGGTCTCCGCAGGAATATTCGTGAACTGTCTACCTACTTCGTAGGTAAGGACTATTCAAGGTGACAAGGCCATGGAAGTTGGTGACGATTCTTGGTGGGGCGTATTGGTTGGCAGTACAGAGTGGCAGTGGCCTTGGATGGGGCAGAAGTGACCACTGCTGAGACTGTTAACACAAGGCGAAGCAGGAAACGCCGAGTCGAAAGCTCGTCCCGTTCGTTGTCTTCTGGGTTTGATGAAACGGGGGGTGCCTAATACTAATTTGACGAGGAGGATTTGGTCAAGTACCGTAGTGTCTCAGTTCGGCAAGGAACACCTATGAATAGCAACGGAATCATGGCCGTGATGAGAGGATGCGAAGTTTGATGTCCTCATAATAGACGTATCGCCGTCAGTAAGGAAATGAGACCCAGCCAACAGGAAAGCGTAAATTGGGAACCCCAATCACGTTCGTGGCGCACAGTGGGGTGCCCTTGGGCTGAGAGAAGCAAGGAACGCCTACGCCAGAGTTGTCACAGTTGATTCAAGACATACATAGCAGATTCACACTGTTGGCTCATAGATAATGCAGTAACGAGAGAGAAGATACCTGAGATGGCGTTCGTTCTCACAGTACAGAGAATCGTTGGCAGCCCACCAAGATCAACAAAGCCCTCGGAAAGAATGCATTTGGGGTTGGCCTCCATATGCTGGAATCTGTAATTGGAGGTTCCAAGTCAAACATTCTGGAGCCGGGGAATAGTGACTGGCGGATAGGAGGGATCCATCGCCGAGGCGGGAGACGGGCTAGACGGGCATGTGCCGCAAGAGTGGACAAGTGTGTGCACCTGTGTGAAATGGTACGAATAAGTTCTCGAACACATTGTTCAGTAACCAAGTCCAGCCAAGGTTGTGAGTATGCTCGTACTTCCTCAGAACAAGACTCGGGAAGCGACATGATCAATTCTAACGCTGCTGTTTATTGTATCAGCTCCTTCAGGCTCCTCTCAATATGCGGCTGGCTGCGACGAATGATGTCGGAGGCCGTGAGCTGACTGAACCTCTCATGCTGCAGCCCAAGACATTGGGTCAGCAAAAGTCCGGACGGTGTCCACTGTGTACTGATCACTGGTGGTCATGCTGGAGTGTGGTGCAGAGAGGCTCTGGAACTGTAACGGCTGCATGCCCGGAACGATTCGAGACAGAATTGGTGGCATCCATCCCCTCTCTGCAAGTGTGGGGTGCCTTGTCCGGGGTCTTCAAGGGCTGAGACGACGGACAATTGGACTTTCAGAGCCATAGCAGGCATACAGCCAAGCTGAAGGTAAAATAGGGGGCTATAGTAACACAGAGAGCACTGCTTGTCATGTAATGACTATACCACTCCCACAACCTTGGCCTCAGACATTCTTTCCGACGTCAACAAGTGTCAGCAAAGAGCGAGCACTTCGATATGCACCAGAAAAGGCACGGGGTTCCTGGAGGGTCTTGGGTTGGCTAAAAGGCCCACCGCCAGCGTCACCCTGCCCTGGGACGAAATGCGTACCAGATCTGATGCTCTCAGGTGCGCAGAGAGCGAAAGTACCCAGGTAGAGTGCTAGACTCTTCCAGACGATTAAAGTTGAACTCTCTTTCAAGCGGCAAAGAGGTACCAACGGGTAAACCGAACCTATTTGCAATTGTTCCTGGCTTGCCTGTAAAAGGCTTTTTTTTCTGCCATCAAACGGCCAAATTCCCAATACTGCACGAAGGAGTTGTATGAACAGACACAGGTGTGATTGTTCATGGCCACCTTTAGGTTAAGTGATAGGTACTGTATGTATGGATACTGTTTAGTGTGCATGCTCCGTAGGGTGTGGGTGTGGGTTCTGTGTGTTTTCTGTGCAGTAGGATCGCGTTTATGGCTGCCCTGTGAATGGATCTCTCATGACGTATATCCGATATGTTATTAACTGCTCATTCCCATCAAATCGTCGAGATAAGCAGAAGAAATTGTCAATTTTGAAGTCCGTGGATGGTGAACATAACCGAATTTTGTTTCTCAGTAAACTCTGTACAAGCTCAAACGAATGATGATGAAAAGTCCCAGTGTTGGTCCAGGCACAACCAATTTTCCTTCTTTCGGAAAACAGACTGAGTGTCAGGAGGGAGCGTTGTGTACTTTCATCATGAAACCTTAGAGGTACCGAGGTGTTTAGCCACAGGCCAAAACCATGCGCGCGATACGATAGAAGTACATTGTGGGCCACATCTTTGTAGTACCTAAGGCATCCGTCACAGAACGGGCGGCTCTCTTTCCGGCCTCTCAGGTCATCCTCACAGGCTCACACCTGAGGTGCCATCATGACACGAAAAGCCAATGATAAGGCACGTTCGAGCAATGATGAGGATCTGCCTGAAAGACCGAAGCGATCAATGAGTTTTGTTAAATTGTTTGTAATGTTTATTAAAGTGCCGAGATCTGAACGCCTCACATCGTCATCTGGACTGATTTTAGTGGCGTCCAGCGTTTCTGTTCACACGAGGGTCCCTGCTCTTCCTCACATATGTTTGAAAGATTTATTCCAGATTGCCTAATAAGCAAGACAGCCGAGGATAATCTAGCGACATTGCAACGAATCTCATCTCAGGTGATATAGAGAGTACTCTGTGTTTGTATTTCTTTTCAACGACGGGATACCCCTTCAAGGTCAAGATTGGATATTACTCGTTATTCTTCCAGCTGAAGTTATTATTCCGCAGCCCCAAACTCGGGAGCAAGCAAGCCTTCGGCCCTTGGTAGAGAATGGCGTTTGTAATAAAGTATTGAAATATCATCCTAAGTTTTTCACACTTTACCTAAGTCTTTTTTTCTCTTATCATCAAGACCCTAAACTATGGCCTGTCAGTCACTACGAGAATTTGAGCCAAAGTGATGAATCAAATATCCAAGCTTTATTGTCATTCATTGACAGGCACAACCCAACTAAGCGTTTAGCACTTTGCCTCACTTGGCCGGGCATCTTCCCCAAAACAACCCTTTCCATTCAAGCCCTGTAAGTGATGGACCCTGGTTTTCCGACTGAGGTGCCCTGGGCCTGGAGAGCCGAATCGCGACGCCGCCACAGTACGATAAAAGTATGTACCTCTGTATTTCCTGCCCAGTTCCACTGGAATTCCGCCTCTTCTTCTTCTTCTTCTTCTTCTTCTTGACCCTAAAGTCGTAACCCGAGAGGAGAAGAGGAGACGGAGCACAACACAAGCATCCATGAGTGACAAATCCACCCACTCCTTGATGGGGACTGAACCTAGCCCAGGTGTTGAGGATGACGCCAAAAATACATGCTACCACTAGACGTCACCGCCTGTAGGAAATGTACTCACCAGCAAATCTCTATCTGACCAACGTCACCCAAAATGGATCCCTCAAATCTGCCCCGGCCACCCGTAACTTTGGCCAACGCTTTTTCCAAGACAAATGGGATGCCCGTGACGCCTTCAACCGGGCTTGGATGGACTCTTCAAGTCACTCCACTGCCTACTTGCCTTTTGGCTATGACCCTCGCCTCGCCTCGCCCATTCATCCCCACACATTAGTCTCAGTTCTTGAGAGAAAAGCAAGAATATTCTCACCCAACGAGACGTGACCTGCGATAAGCTGAACCTAAGTGGACTGGGCTCCTGCTACAGTGCCCCTTCGTAACCTTGACCCCTAACTCACACGCTGAGGCCACTGTACCTAGGTCACTGGCCTTCGCTGGACGAGCGCTTTTTTCCCTCCTTCGCCCTTGGTCTCTCTATCCCGTCTGGGCACACCTACCTACTTACCTACCTATCCTATCCAATCCACCACCCTCACCACCAAAACCATTCACCAAACTAGGAGGTGCGCCCCCCGGGTCCTTCCCCAGTCCCGTTCCATCTCGCCTTTCTTCGCTCATCGGTTGTGTCCTTCTCCTCTTCACTCACGATTCCTCCGTCGTACATACATGAACCTCAAGACGGCCTACACATACGAATCGACGCGACGATTTGATCGGTCGCCTGTACCGTCCGATACAGCGGAACAGCACCTCTCTCGTTTTTGTTTTTCGTGATCACTACTGCCGTCCCTAAAGCCCTTGGGTGGCTTTGGCTTTCCCCATC